GCGTGCGTGCGTGCGTGCGTGCGTGCGTACTTACTTAAGATTATCATGATAAAAATAATTTTGCCCCAGGTTTTCAAAGACATTGTTCACTGAAAGTGTTTGCAAGAAAATACCGTCCTTTTGAATATTTAAATGATCGACATCTAAACTATTCATTTCATGCATTTATTGCTTGTACTGTTGAAACGAGAAAATTACGATGAGAATAAGTTCTTTAAGAAACATAAAAAGTTTAAACCAGTACATTTGTTCTATCTAATTAATCTTTTGACATTTGAAACTTCTTTCAGCTCGGAAAAACATGTAAGAAACTTTACTCTTGCGTTAAATACCAAATACAACCCATTTGCCAGATGATATCAGAGATACTTGTGAGCATAAGTGACTGGCTTACACTCGAGTATCTTGATGATTTGTCCTGTCCAGTGTTTGTTGAGGTCAGTGTAGTGATCATGTGGTACTTGTGGATGCAGTTGCTTCATTACTGTGAGATCGACCTTTGTGATGTCAGAAACAACCAAGCGGCTGGTTGCCTTTTCAGAACAACAGAAATTTAATGTGATTACAAGCATTTGGATAAATGCAAATTAGGGAATGAAAAATAGACGGAAAATAGACGCTGCTCGTGTTTATTCACATATCTTGAACAATTTATGTCACACTTTGAACACATTTTATGTACTGTTGTCACAGTTTAGGCAGATGGGAGGCAACATCTGCATAATGGAAGACTTCCATGTCAGCAGTCAGTCTGTACGTATACACAGCTCTTCATTGAACAAAGACGGCAAAGGTGCCAGCGACCTCTTTGCCATCACCTACAGTCCCTCTATGGTCGACCGAACCCGTTAAGAAAAGAATAATATGTTAATCTAAAAATCAATTCATCACTAATGAATATGTAAAACATAATCAGATCAATTAGTGAGTAAAAAAAGTTAAAAAAATGTTTTATTTAGATCCTAAAATATTGTTAAACAAACAGAGGTACCGACTTCCGCACGACGTTAGAGAGAGAGAGAGAGAGAGAGAGAGAGAGAGAGAGAGAGAGAGAGAGAGAGAGTTTATTTGCGTGTCACGCGTTACAGTGTTACAGATTAATTATATACAAATTCAATACATAAGTAAAATAGGGCTTATGAGACACGATACAAACATATAAAGCATATAATTCATCATCTTCTCGAGGCAAGGGAGTTGACTGACTATAAAAGTCCAGTTTCCAACCTTGCCGAACTAGGCTGGAATTCCTGGGCTCGACCGTAGCGCCACCAGTGGTTATTACGAGTTATGTTCCTTCTAAGCCTCTCCTATGGACCAATCAGATTCCACCTCTCGTATCACTTGCATTTGTTTCAAAAAAAATGGTGGCGCCCTGTCAAAACGATCTGATTGATAATCAAGATCTATATTGTGATAAAACGGGTCTTACATAGCGAAGTGCATCAAATCACGTGAGCACAATGATTTAAAACATGAAAAGACTTGGAAAATATCTGTTGACAACGAGTTGGCGGTGCAACATGCTTTGCAAATCCTTCAATCGACAGAAATCTGCACGACATTTTACAAACCGGATTTCGATTTCGGTGGGCGATTTTGATTGGACTATGCATAGACTCGTTAGCCCAGCCAAAATGTAACTCCATAATACCAGCCTAGCTCGGCAAGGGTGGAAACTGGACTTTTATAGTCAGTTAACTCACTTGCCTCGGGAAGATGATAATTCATAAAAAAAGTATGAAGCTACATGTATAACAATTTCAGCAATATATAAGTATTGTTAAAGACAATTCATTTGAAAGATAATAATCGTTTATACATTACTAAAAGGGTCTTAGATAAACAATACTGTAAGTCGTCCGATTTCAATATAAAACATAACTTATGCATATCATCAAGGGTATAACTACTCTGGGATACATGTGAAGCTTAATAAAATAATTCATATCTTAAATCTTCATAAAAAAGGCATAATGTAAGAAAGTGCTATTCATCTTCAACAGTGCTGATATTTAAAGCATTGAAACAATATTTACAAAATCTATCACATAGTAGTGTTGGTGGTTTAGAACAACGTTTCTATAGCAAACTTTAAGCTAAAACACGGCGTTGGTCCTTATATCTAAGCTTAAAAACATATTTTTCAACAAGTCAAGTCTGATTAAAAAAGCCTGTATGTTCTTAACTTATTACCATTTATGGTATTTCTTTCATCCAAAAATGTCATTTATTCATTTCCGTTTGTCATCTTGTATGAGAATATCAATGCATCTTTGTAATTTTGCCTTTTTAGGGATGGAAGATCACAGGATTTTGTCGCCATTGAACTTACAGGGAATTTTTCAACTTTGCTTCTCCATTATGTTTTAGATGAGCAAGACATGTTTAACATATGTTTACAAGTTTTGCTTATTTTACAAGTATTTGCACTTGAATGCGTAATGTACAGTCCAAAAACATACGTGACAATTTTAACAGTTGGCGAATTAAACCAATATCACAGTTAACTTTGTTACAAAGAGATGGAATCTAATATTTGGCCTCTTATACCAAGTTGGAACAATATAAACCACATGCATTAACAGTGTCGAATGCATTTTTCAACAAAGAACTAGGTGACTGGCTTACACTCGAGTATCTTGATGGTTATGTTTGAGGTCGGTGTAGTGATCATGTAGTACTTGTGGATGCAGTTGGTTCATTACCGTGAGATCGACCTTTGTGGTGTCAGAAGTAACCAACCAAACAAAAGTGGAATCATTTTTGTCTTCTGGATAAAAACGATAAAACGTAAAGATTAATTAATTTCCCATTCAAATTTGACGAAGTATCTTGGTAGATTTTCTTAAAAAGCGCGTCCTCAGACTATCAACATATATTGCAACAAACCCGTAGTGAGATCCTTGTCAAGACCAACCGGTCTGAGAAGTTAAGTGAAGGTGATAAAGTCGAACCTGGAGCTGAGGGCGTCAATCACAGTTCTCCCATACCGGGTGGATGCCCATGTTAACAGCACATTGCACATTGCAACAGTCCCATTTGGGGACCAACTACAGACATTAACTTTACCTTCGTACTAAAAAAAGTGACTTGACTCTCGGTATTAAAGAAGCGTTTTATCCATATGTGTAAGTTTTCAGCACTCCTTGTTTCATAATTGGGAGTTTAAGATAACCACTGTATAAGATGATAACCCCATGAACAACACGTATGTTTTTTTCCTTCCACCGTCTCTATCGACTCTGACTGATATAAGATTTCTGTAGATTGTAGCTCTCCCCGTACAACAGGGTATGTGACCAGGGCTAATCTACACAGGGGGAACCAATCGTGTAAGGCATCGCAATTCGCTGCACAACGTTGTGCCTCTGATCATGAGGCATTTCAGATTACTCTTGTCGTGGGTTCGAATCCAAGATTCGCCAAAATGATGACCATTATCCTTGCTGTGGGTTCCCAAGTAGTAAATGTTTTGGATCTTCATCTCTTTGGGCTTTCCTTCCACAATTAGCGAACATGATTATGAAGAGAATAGCTTGGATATTACTGAGATTCTCAGTGACTACGTAGAAGATTTTCTCATTTGAACGTTGTAGGCATTTCTATGTTTAGGTCAAGTTGTAAGCAGCTCTTATAACATACGAACTGTAAAAAATACAACGCCAAGAATAGCAACAAAAAAATCTAATGATCTAACTGATTCTAGAATATTTGTGCACCTCTTTGTCTCCCCATAGGGATATCTGGCAGTTGAACTTATAAGCACCTTATTCCTGTCTCCCAATAGGGATCTCTGGTAGCAGAACTTACACGCACCCGAGTCTTGTCTCCCTTGTGTCGTGTGGCAGTATTGTCTACAAGCACCCCGTTATTGTCTCACTATGGCAATGTCTGGTAGTAGAACTTACACGCACCCGAGTCTTGTCTCCCTTGTGTCGTGTGGCAGTATAGTCTACAAGCACCCCATTATTGTCTCACTATGGCAATGTCTGGTAGCAGAACTTGCACGCACCCGAGTCATGTCTCTCTTGTGTCGTGTGGCAGTATAGTCTACAAGCACCCCGTTATTGTCTCACTATGGCAATGTCTGGTAGTAGAACTTACACGCACCCGAGTCTTGTCTCCCTTGTGTCGTGTGGCACTATAGTCTACAAGCACCTCTTTATTGTCGCACTATGGGGATGTCTGGGAACATCGTTTACAAGCACCCCCTTTATGTCTCTTCATGGATCCATACCCCAGGATTGTCTCCTTCAGGAACATTATACAGCACAACACTATTGTCCACTTGAAATAGAATCACGAAATATCGCGACTTTTAATTAATGAAGATACAAGTAGCTGCCCATGCTTACCCGGATTGTAACAACGTTTTACAAGTTTTGTCATTTTTGTGAGTAAAGTTCTTATCGCCGGAATTTCTTGTTTTCCCTTTAGGAGATGAGCCAACATGCAGCTATCTTCGTTGATTAATAATCGCGATTTTAGCCCAAAGTGGCGAGGACTTTTGATGGTTCACGCGCACATTACCATCTCATTCTACCGGTTTAACCATTATGATGACTTAACTCTATTGTTATGGCAGAGCCGGTTCAATCAAAAGTTGAAATAAACAAAAGCGAACGCGGATGCGTGTAGTGGCGCGGTTGATTCTGAACCAGGAATTCAATGTCCATTCTGAACCTTCATTTCAAACAAGTACAACTGACGCAGCTGGAGGTCATTACGCAATATCATAGATAAATTCTATATCAACGATAAAATGGTTTTAAGTCCGAAAAATCACTCGGATCTGTATATTCCGAAAGTCAGATTATCATGATTCCTCCATTACATGTTCATAACCGTTCACCGCAGGGTTCACAGAGGCATTCTTCAAATAATGTCACATGTCTCAGGAGACACGGCATGGAACAATTATTTTTTGCTGAGCAGGTCCTGGCAGCTCACACTTCAAAAAGGATGACCTCCGTGTCAATGACAAAACTAAACGGTAGTTCACATCAGAACATCTCTTTATTTAGAGTGTGTAGGCTCGAAACTTGGTTTTAGCCGATTAACTTATCAACATCTCGATAGAACGTGAATGAATGCTTCACTCCATTGATAGCATGGATGACGCCATTAGTTGCAAGCCAATCTTTGTTCAAGAAGGTTCCATCATACGGTGTCATCCTGAAGTTATGATTAACTGTTAAGAGAGAATGAGCGAATGTGTGAGTGAGTGGATGGATGGGTGGGCTAATTCAGGGAGGGAAGAGCTTAAAGTCGCTTTGAACAGCTTTTCAGACATATCACGGCTCATGAGTTTGATTTGCAAGGGAATCCCAAAGTGATGCAGGTCTTGGGTTTAACAAACTTCGAAACATAATAGGAATTCGAGCCCAGGATCATAGATTTCTGGCACTCCCAAGTAGGGAGCGCTGCACAATGGGTTGCGGTGCCGAAGACCAGTTACACCCATGTCCCTTAATTGTTATATCATTATAATATTATCATGAACACGTAAAGTCATATCTATGTAATACCACTACAGGTACATGTATCTCATCTCACATGAGAGTACGTGACCAATACTACCGCTTCAGAGCACAGGTAACGGCTTTGGTTCAATGGGTGTATGAAATTTGCGTCATGTATATAGTAGAATTATTTAATGTACCCCAACCAACACCCTCTATACAAATGTACCTCTCGAGGTGCATGTTCATAGTGGAGAGTTAGTGAGTGAGTGAGTGAGTTGGGTTTAACGCCACTTTTAACATTATTCCAGTTATATCACGGCGTGTCAGCTTAATGTGGGAGGAAAGCCCGAAGTGATGCAGGCCTCAGACGTTTACCATTTCGGTGAAACCCACGAGCATGGGTATGGTGTTGACAAACCTAGAAACATAATCGGGGCGTACCGGGATTTGAACCCACAATCATAGGTTTCTGGGGTGCCCAAGGCCTTAGACGACTGGAGAGTTAGTGGACCTTGAGTGGACAGTGAAAAAATGCTGTTAACTCGAACTCTTCAATTATACACAGGAGCTCTTTTTGTGGGACTCGTGTATTTGTCTGCATGTGCGATGACTCGAAGAAGGCAAATTGTTCATAATCAGTGTGAAAATTTCAGATAATTTATGACCAACAGAGGTTAACCCTCAGATAACTAGCTTTTGAATGTAACTTTATTGATCATGTGTTCTACCAGTGAAATGAAGAAGTTAACACTTGCCTAATTCGCGGAAAGTGTAGGTAATGTCGTATCTAGAGTTGTCGTCGTGGATACTCTCATTGTTATACAAACCGTTAAAGTAGTAGACGCCAGGCAGGATGTGAAATTCCACCAATTCTGGGGGTAGATTGTATGGCGATTTACAAGTCGGTGGAGGAGGGGTTGGAAAACCCTTTTTATTTATTCAGGACAAAAATATACTTTTTGAGAAGGTGAAAAACAGAATTCATGGTTCATGTATGATTCTTATAAAGAGTGTAAACATTAATTAGTCAGCAAAGTTGTTGAACAAAGCACCACTCACCTCGTAGCATGGACATGTTGCTGAAGAAAGCATCACTCACCTTGTAGTATGGGCCTCTTGTGGAAAAATGTTTCTCTCACATTTTTGTATTAGTATGTTGTTGAAGAAAGCATCACCCAACTTGTAGTGTGGGCATGATGTTGATGAATGCATCACTTACTTACTTACTTACTTACTTACTTACTTACTTACTTACTTACTTACTTACTTACTTACTTACTTACTTACTTACTTACTTACTTACTTACTTACTTACTTACTTACTTACTTACTTACTTACTTACTTACTTACTTACTTACTTACTTACTTACTTACTTACTTACTTACTTACTTACTTACTTACTTACTTACTTACTTACTTACTTACTTACTTACTTACTTACTTACTTACTTACTTACTTACTTACTTACTTACTTACTTACTTACTTACTTACTTACTTACTTACTTACTTACTTACTTACTTACTTACTTACTTACTTACTTACTTACTTACTTACTTACTTACTTACTTACTTACTTACTTACTTACTTACTTACTTACTTACTTACTTACTTACTTACTTACTTACTTACTTACTTACTTACTTACTTACTTACTTACTTACTTACTTACTTACTTACTTACTTACTTACTTACTTACTTACTTACTTACTTACTTACTTACTTACTTACTTACTTACTTACTTACTTACTTACTTACTTACTTACTTACTTACTTACTTACTTACTTACTTACTTACTTACTTACTTACTTACTTACTTACTTACTTTGGAGATTTAACGTGCGCTTTCCGACTGATGCGTATTTCGCACACGGACCCGGCCTGGCCATTTAATGTGTTTCCGAAAGGGGCGAAAGTGGTCTGTGCAACCCAAGAGGGGGGTTTTGGGGTTGCTTATATAGAATATGGGAATTTTGAGATTTGGAATAGATGCCGATGGGGTTGGGGAGGAGAACTAAGGGAGCTGGGTATGGTGGGTGTTTGTTTGTTTATGTGATTTTGATTTGGTAGGTTATTGTGTTTTTAGATGCGTTTTATTAGTTCCGCTTGTATTAAGAATACGCCTAAGGCCTTGAAGTTTTCTAGTTTATTTTGTGGGTTTAGTATTGCTTCTAGAGTGAGAGCCTTGTTTAGATTGAGGGTGGTTTGTAATGCGGTTCGATGTGTTAGGTAGTGTGTGCAGTGGATGAGTGCGTGTTCTGGGGTTTCTGGTTGTTTGCAGTGTGGGCAGGTACCTGTAGTGTTTTTTAATTTTTTTTTAGGTGGTTATTTAGGTTGGTGTGTTCTGTTTGGAGTTAAGTGATTACTCTGTCGATTTTTTTTTATGGATGGAGAATTTTTGGTTTGGTTAGTGGTTTGCTGAGCACTTTTATGATTTGGCTATTTGAGTTTAGATATAGGTTATGCCATTTTTGTGATTTTTTGCTTGTTTACACTTTTAATTTCTGATTTTGAGATGGGTAAGTTTAAGCTTATTTCTAGGATTTTGAGGGATAGTTTAGCTGCTTTATCGGCGTTTTCATTACCGTATATTCCTACGTGGGCGGGTATCCACAAGAAGGTTATTTGTTTGCCTGCCTCAGTTAGGTCGTTGGAGCTTTTAAGTATTTGATTTATTAATTTGGGTCGGGTTTTGGTATTTTTGTTTTGGAGGGCTTGCAGTCCACTTAGGAAGTCGGTAAGTATTAGGATTTTTTTTGGTGGTTTTTGGATTCTTGATTATGGAGGGCTGAGGCCGTGAATATTGATTGGTTGTTTGGGAGTCGGAAGGATTGTGTGGTTTTAGTTGGTTGTGTGGTATGGACTCCGAAACCTGTGTGTTTGGAGGTCGGATCTGAGGATCCGTTCGTGTAAATGTGACACCAATTTGGCCAATTTTCGTGTATGTATGCTATTGTGGTAGTTTTAGCTATGTTTGGGTCGGTTTGTTTATTTATTTGGCTAGCTAGTGTTGTGTCTATTTTGGGTATTTTAAGTTTAGGGGTGAAGATATTTGATTGTTTGCAGTTTTGTTTAAGATTTTTAATTTGGTGTTCATTTAGGTAGTTTGTTATTCTTTGGGATATTGGGGTAAGTAAGGGGTGTTTACGAGCTAGAGCTTTGTTTTTGGGGCTGATGTTTTGGTTTATTAAGTTTTGGATGAGAGGGTTTGATTGGGACGCGGCCCAGAAATTTAAGCTTAGCTGTTCCCTGCGTAGACTTAGTGGCATTTCTCCTGTTAAGGCCTGAAGTGAGGTGTAGGAGGTGCCATGTTGGGTGCGTGTAATTAGTTTGAGAGCCTGATATTGTTTTGAGTCAAGTTTTTTAGATAGAGAGTTGTTTAGGGTGTTGTATATGGCGCAGCCGTAGTCTAGTTTGATCTAATTAGTGATATGTAGAGAGAGAGGAGGGTATCTTTGGAGGCTACCCAGTTAGAGCCAGTTAGGCATCTTAGGGTGTTTAGGTCTTTACTGCATTTAGTTGTTAGGTTTTGGATGTGAGCATCCCAGGTGAGATGTTCATCGAAAATAAGTCCTAAGAATTTGGTTTGTTTTTGAAATTTGATTGTTTGATTGTTTAGCTGGAGGATTGGGGAGGCAGGTTTCATGTTTTTATGTTTGAATACTATTCCTGTTGTTTTTTCTGAGTTAAGGGAGAAGCCCCATTTGTCAGCCCATTGTTGTATTTTATTAAGAGATGTTTGGAGTAAATGTTGGACCATTTTCATGCTTTTAGTGCGGATCCAGATGGCTCCATCATCCGCGAATTTTGATGTGTTTACTTTAGGGGATAGGCCCTCGAACAGATCGTTTATCATTATATTGAAGTGGGTGGGGCTGAGGATACTGCCCTGTGGAGTGCCATTTTCTAGGGGACATCACTCACTCCACAGAAGAGGACTTATATTTTAAGAAAGCATCCCTCATTCCGTGCTATGTGACTGTTGATGACGAAAACATCACTCACCTCGTGGCATGGGGATGCTGTTGAAGAAAGCATCGTTCACCTTGTAGTGTGGGAATATTGTTGAATAAAAACATCACTTACCTTGTAGTGTGGGCATGTTGTTTATGAATGCATCACTCACTCCACAGAAGAAGAATTGTATTTTAAGAAAGCATTCCTCATTCCGTGCGATGTGACTGTTGATGACGAAAGCGTCCCTCACCTGGTGGCATGTGAATGTTGCCGAAGAAAGGATCACTCACCTGGTGGCTTGTGAATTTTGTTGAAGAAAGGATCACTCACCTGGTGGCATGTGAATGTTGCTGAAGAAAGAATCACTCACATGGTGGCATGTGAATGTTGCTGTAGAAAGGATCACTCACCTGGTGGCATGTGAATGTTGTTGAAGAAAGGATTACTCACTACGTGGGATGTGAATGTTGTTCAAGAAAGGATCACTCACCTTGTAGCAGGCGTATGTTGTTAAACAAAACATCCGTCCTATTTTGACCCACTCTACTAAATGCGAGATCATGTGGAGCAAAGACTGTGATGTTGTCTTCTGTAGACAAAACGTGCGTCAATTATTACATAGCAAACTTGGCATTTAATTTGAATTGACGTGTCGTATATCATAGTCAAATTGAACAAAATAATCCCGACCGTACAACGTAACGTTAACTGAATCTTAATCGTTAACCTGTGTACTTAGAGCAGCGAGTTACATGTATGTCACTGGTAAACAACGCAAACCGTGTACATGTATGTGCTTGAAAGGAGCGCATTATATCAGCGTTATACCGCGTGACCCTGCGTTCTTGGACGGAACGTATTATATCAATGTTAAACAATGTATACCGGTGGACATGAACGGAACATAGTATATCAATGGTTTACAACGTTTACCTGTGTACGTGAACACAGAGTGTTATTATACATGTATCAAATGTTTACAACGTTAGCCCATGTTCTTGAACGCGGCGAACTGTCAATGTTTATACAACGTTTATCCGTGCACTTGCACGCAGTGCATTATTAATATTTATACAACGTTTATCCGTGCACCTGAACGCAGTTTATTGTTAATATTTATACAATGGTTAATTGTGTACTTGAACGCTTTGCATGATGTTAACTTTTCAACACATATCATACATGTACTTCAATACATATTCAGACATATCTACTTCAATATTATTCAACGTTTACCACAATGCTTGAACTACAGAATATACTAGTGTGGGGATTTTCAAACCTTTAAGTTTGCTCGTCATTCCCGACAAGGCGGCAGCAGTCAGAAACGAGGAGTAATTGGGATCCTGGGATAGGCTTTGCACAACATCAACAATCAGAGGAGACAGGGTAGAGCCCAGTAGATAGATGTGGCCATTGGAGACGCTCAGGTTGGATTCAGTGAGGACGACACCGTTGACAACAGTCACCTGCACGTAAGCCAAATAGCAAGAAATTCAACGTTAAACTTTAAAAGATGCAAAGATGAAGAAAAATAGAAACAGAAACCCAAACCAAGAAACAAATTCAAAAAGGGAAACAAAACCCGTTAAACACTGAGGACGCAATGTTACAGTGACGGACCTGGTTGTGGGGGTAGGTGACCATGCGTACAGGTTTTGACGCCAGGGTGTTGAGTGTCTCCCCTGTCCAGTTGCGGTGTGTGTTCCCAGTGTACGGCACAATGTGATACTTGATCATGGCCGTCATCTGGGGCAGGTTCTCCTTCTGGTATAGCAATGCCATCGTCTGCTTGGGTAGGGTTTGAAACGCCGCGTCTACCGGGGCGAAGACGGTGTAGTTTCCTTCAACACAAAAAGGTTGTGTAAACTGTAATTTGTTTTTTTGAGCTCTGTGAACCGTATTTCAGTTATGTCAGTGCAAACCTCTGCTTTGTTGTTCTTTCTTTGTTGTCTGACGTCGCACTCGACACTTGTACTATTACAGGTATTTGACGGCGATCTGTAAATAATCGAGTCTGGACTTGACAATCATGTGAGCAACGGTCCACGTCAAGAGCCGAGCCTGACCACCCGATCCATTAAATCGCCTATTATGACAATCGCAGATTGTTTGGGACCTAATGTAACTTAGAATCCTAACGAGTGTCCCACAGACTGTTGATTCGTTTTCAGAGTAGGTCAAGACATTGCAGCTGATTCATTCCCAGTACGTATGAAATTCACATTGTCTCTGTGTATGTAGAGTAATCGTTAATTATCAATTGATATACATAATGATAATTTTAGTTAAGAGTCAATTAATATTATAGCATCACTTCTTCAACCGTATGAGGATATTAATAATTCATAAAAGGTATGTAGAGTAAGGCTGTTGGCTTATACCATTGGGTGGAAGTGAGGTTGTTGGGGAAAGGGTTACGGAATGGCTTATAACATTGGGTGGAAGTGAGGTAGTTGGGGAAAGGTTCCACGGGTTGGCTTATTACATAGTGTTTAAGTGAGGTAGTTGGGGAAAGGGTCTAAGGGATAGCTTATTACATAGTGTTTAAGTGAGGGTAGTTGGGGAAAGGGTCTACGGGATGACTTATTACATAGTGTTTAAGTGAGGTAGTTGGGGAAAGGGTCCACGGGATGCCTTATTACATAGTGTTTAAGTGAGGTAGTTGGGGAAAGGGTGTACGGGATGGCTAATTGCATTCGGTGGAAGTGAGGCAGTTGGGGAAAGGGTGTACGGGATGGCTTCTAACATTGGGTGGAAGTGAGGTTGTTGGGGAAAGGGTGTTGGATGGCTTATAACATTGGGTGGAAGTGAGGTTGTTGGGGAAAGGGTGTACGGGGTGGCTTATAACATTGGGTGGAAGTGAGGTAGTTGGGGAAAGGGTGTACGGGATGGCTTATTACATAGTGTTTAAGTGAGGTAGTTGGGGAAAGGGTGTACGGGATGGCTTATAACATTGGCTGGAAGTGAGGTTGTTGGAGAAAAGGTGTACGGGATGGCTTATAACATTGGGTGGAAGTGAGGTAGTTGGGGAAAGGGTGTACGGGATGGCTTATAACATTGGATGGAAGTGAGGTAGTTGGGGAAAGGGTGTACGGGATGGCTTATAACATTGGGTGGAAGTGAGTTTGTTGGGGAAAGGGTGTACGGGATGGCTGATAACATTGGGTTGAAGTGAGGTAGTTGGGGAAAGGGTGTACGGGGTGGCTTATAATATTGGGTGGAAGTGAGGTAGTTGGGGAAAGGGTGTACGGGATGGCTTATAACATTGGGTTGAAGTGAGGTAGTTGGAGAAAGGGTGTACGGGATGGTTATAACATTGGGTGGAAGTGAGGTAGTTGGGGAATGGGTCTACGAGATGGCTTATTACATAGTGTTTAAGTGAGGTAGTTGGGGAAAGGGTGTACGGGATGGCTTATTACATAGTGTTTAAGTGAGGTAGTTGGGGAAAGAGTCTACGGGATGGCTTATTACATAGTGTTTAAGTGAGGTAGTTGGGGAAAGGGTGTACGGGATGGCTTATAACATTGGGTGGAAGTGAGGTAGTTGGGGAAAGGGTGTTCGGGATGGCTTATAACATTGGGTTGAGGTGAGATAGTTGGGGAAAGGGTGTACGGAATAGCTTATAACATTGGGTGGAAGTGAGGTATTTGTTGAAAGGTTCTATGGGATGGCTTATAACATTGGCTGGAAGTGAGGTTGTTGGGGAAAGGGTGTACGGAATGGCTTATTACATTGGGTGGAAGTGAGGTAGTTGGGGAATGGGTCTACGGAATGACTTATTACATAATGTTTAAGTGAGGTAGTTGGGGAAAGGGAGTACGGGATGGCTTATTACATAGTGTTTAAGTGAGGTAGTTGGGGAAAGAGTCTACGGGATGGCTTATTACATAGTGTTTAAGTGAGGTAGTTGGGGAAAGGGTGTACGGGATGGCTTATAACATTGGATGGAAGTGAGGTTGTTGGGGAAAGGGTGTACGGAATGGCTTATGACGATGTTTGGAAGTGAGGTAGTTGGGGAAAGGGTCTAAGGGATGGCTTATTACATAGTGTTTAAGTGAGGTAGTTGGGGAAAGGGTGTACGGGATGGCTTATTACATAGTGTTTAAGTGAGGTAGTTGGGGAAAGGGTCTAGGGGATGGCTTATTACATAGTGTTTAAGTGAGGTAGTTGGGGAAAGGGTCTACGGGATGGCTTATTGCATTGGGTGGAAGTGAGGCAGTTGGGGAAAGGGTGCACGGGATGGTTTATAACATTGGGTGGAAGTGAGGTTGTTGGGGAAAGGGTGTACGGGATGGCTTATAACATTGAGTGGAAGTGAGGTAGTTTGGGAAAGGGCGTACGGGATGGCTTATTACATTGGGTGGAAGTGAGGTATTTGTGGAAAGGTTCTACGGGATGGCTTATAACGTTGGCTGGAAGTGAGGTAGTTGGGGAAAGGGTGTACGGAATGGCTTATATCGTTGTTTGGAAGTGAGGTAGTTGGGGAAAGGGTCTACGGGATGGCTTATTACATAGTGTTTAAGTGAGGTAGTTGGGGAAAGGGTCTACGGGATGGCTTATTACATAGTGTTTAAGTGAGGTAGTTGGGGAAAGGGTCTACGGGATGGCTAATTGCATTGGGTGGAAGTGAGGCAGTTTGGGAAAGGGCGTACGGGATGGCTTATAACATTGGATGGAAGTGAGGTAGTTGGGGAAAGGGTGTACGGGATGGCCTATAACATTGGGTGGAAGTGAGGTTGTTGGGGAAAGGGTGTACGGGATGGCTTATAACATTGGCTGGAAGTGAGGCAGTTGGAGAAAGGGTGTACGGGATGGCTTATAACATCAGGTGGAAGTGAGGTAGTTGGGGAAAGGGTGTACGGGATGGCTTATAACATTGGCTGGAAGTGAGGTAGTTGGGGAAAGGGTGTACGGGATGGCTTATAACATTGGATGGAAGTGAGGTAGTTGGGGAAAGGGTGTACGGGATGGCTTATAACATTGGCTGGAAGTGAGGCAGTTGGAGAAAGGGTGTACGGGATGGCTTATAACATTGGGTGGAAGTGAGGTAGTTTGGGAAAGGGTCTACGGGATGGCTTATAACATTGGCTGGAAGTGAGGTAGTTGGAGAAAGGGTGTACGAGATGGCTTATAACAGTGGGTTGAACTGAGGTAGTTGGGGAAAGGGTGTACAGGATGGCTTATACCATTGGGTGGAAGTGAGGTAGTTGGGGAAGGGTCTACGGGATGGCTTATTACATAGTCTTTAAGTGAGGTAGTTGGGGAAAGGGTCTACGGGATGGCTTATTACATAGAGTTTAAGTGAGGTAGTTGCGGAAAGGGTGTACGGGATGGCTTATAACATTGGGTGGAAGTGAGGATGTTGGGGAAAGGGTATACCGGATGGCTTATTACAATGGGTGGAAGTGAGGTAGTTAGGGAAAGGGTGTATGGGATGGCTTATAACATTGGGTGGAAGTGAGGTAGTTAGGGAAAGGGTGTACCGGATGGCTTATTACATTTGGTGGAAGTGAGGTTGTTGGGGAAAAGGTGTTCCGGATGGCTTATAACATTGGGTGGAAGTGAGGCAGTTGGCGCAAGAAAGCGTTGGTTCCCACCACCTTAATTTGTGTAATAAGTGTGATATAATTGGCTCATCTTGAAACGTTTTAGTCAAGGCGATATATGTTATACTTAAGCCGCATTTCGGAATAAAGTGGGGATCCTCGCACGGCTGAGGGACATAACTCTGAAATTGGAAATGCAATAATCTAGCACTGCATGCATATTTGGCAAATAGAAAATATAGCATGTTCATGCTTCAAAACATTTTGTGTGAACATACCAGTGTTGAGGAGACTCTCCAGTCCGGCTTTTTTAATGAGACTTGTGAAGATCATCGTCTCGAATCTTGTGGCCAGTGTCTCCATGATAGTTTGCGAAGCAACATCACAGACGCTTAGCAGAAGCAGCCCACACACGACATGCACGTTCATTGCTCCACCAAGTAAATTACACTAGAAACATGGAGAATAAGTGTCGTCTATAAATCTGACAGACTTATATGTAGTGAATATAAGTCTGGCCAATACCACGGCAGGTGTACCAGTATTGTTACCATCATTTGTTTTCATCAATTCTGTGCATGTAAGTTGGCTGTTTGTTCCTACTTTTACCATTTCCATAATTACTTTCCTTGAAATACAAACCACATTCAATGAAGCGGGGGTAAACAGATTTGTTGTTCTTGTGCGCCGCAGTCATATTTGGTCGGATTGTTGTTTAAAGCCGCACTTAAAAATATTCCAGCGACATTACCGCGGTTTGTAAATAATCGAATCTAGATCAGACAATCCAGTGATTGGTATTATGAGCTTCGATCTACGCTGTCGTTACACGCTGACACACCCTCAAAGAAATCACCGTAAAATGGACTAGAACTTTTCCCGCCGAAAAAAACTTTTGCAAATCTTCTTTACCGTGGTTTGAAGCATACACTTCACCCCAATCAATACGGCGTCAGAACTCTACCATAAATGATATAAACTTCCGCATGCTCGAAGAAAGTATTGTTTTAAGTGGTAGCGATCTGTGAAATAGCATAATTCTTTCCTGAACATGCAAACGGAATTTCTACTTTTCTTAAGTTTGAATCTGCACGCGTATAGGACGCAGGATTTCGCGTCCGGTAAATCCCTGTGTGATCTAAATGAAATAAATAATGTAAATATCTGAAATACATGTATCTGGATACTATCCAAACTAGCATGCCAAAGAACGTTTTAATCACTGTTAAGTTTCTTCCAATGCCAAGTATCACCTTCTTAATTGCCTATAATGCAAACCATCACAAGTGAAAGTTGGTCTTTTTGATGCACTGAATAATCAATCTACGACGTTTTACGTTCAAGAGTAAAATACATACGCCGTCAATTTCAATTGGAACTGATTGTCATCAATACTATCTCTGTAAGTAAACATGTGATTCAATTGTAAAATGTGTAGTTTACGTTACTTACCTAAATCCTATGTGGCCTCACCGACAGTCTCATGTTATATAAGCAAGTGTTATCATCAGGGGCGTTGGGTTATCAAGGGTTGTACTTGGGCGTGGAAACCAAGATTCGCGCTACATGTAATCAGATTAAAGGGATATATATGGTTACAATTCTATATCTCTATATCTTTCTTTTTTTCATGCTTGTCCAAAGTTTCTGTGATCAAAATAACAGAAAAAAGGAAATCATACATACATACATACATACATACATACATCCATCCATCCATCCATCCATCCATCCATCCATCCATACATACATACATACATACATACATACATACATACATACATACATACATACATACATACATACATACATACATACATACATACATACATACATACATACATACATACATACATACATACATACATACATACATACATACATACATACATACATACTGAAGCAAATTAAAAACTTCACAATCCTAAAATTTTAACATTTTGACCAGTTATCATTGTGGGCACATTGATCTTTCAACACGACAATGCCAGACCCCACACAGCAATTTTGACAAGGAATTTCATTCAGAATGCGGGAGTCAACGTGATGGACTGGCCGTCAAGGTCTCCCGACGTCAATCCCATCGAACTCGTCTGGGATGCTCTCGGCAGAAGTCTGCGCACTCTCTAGAACCAACCACAGAATTTGCAAGATCTTGGCACCATTTTGCAGCAACAATGGCGTCGTCTTCCCAATCATGTGTTCACAAGCATCACAAGGTCCATGCGGAGGCGTTGTGTGGCAGTTGTCAACGCACATGGTGGCCATACACGCTATTAAACTTGTGTGCCATCAGATTCTCGTGCTTGGGACTTATGATTTAAAGTGTTGATGTTATTACCGAATACCGAAGGTGCTTGGAACAAATTATGGTTACCACCGTTAATTAAAATCCTTCTTTGGACATTAATGATTAAAAATTACCTTCTCTGATACATTTGTCCGTTATATACCATATATGGGATTACTTTTAAAAATGTGAAGTTTTTAATTTGACTCAGTATATAAACTAGCCACATTAAGAAACTGTGCACGGAGAAAATATAGATATAAGGGCACACCGTCCATATATGAAATATAGGTTTGAACACAGCAATTATTGGAGACATATAAACGCTTATGCACGTGCCATGCGATATGACGTCATTGATGGGGGCCTATGGACGTGCAATGTGTTACTGCACGTGCATCCTGTGCAGCTGTACACAGCATGTGCAACTCAAAATTCGCTGTCACTTTGGAAAGCATGATCTGTGGTCATTCAAAAATTCAAAACTTCTCAGGCGCAGACACAAGCATATCACAAGCAAATCATGCCAAGATTGACAGCTGCACAGCGTCATGAAGCCATTGTAATGACCCGAGCGGGAATGAGGCAACAACAGGTGGCAACACATTTCCAATGCCATCGTAACACGATATCGTCATCGGTGAGGCGTTATCAGAACACAAATGACGTTGCCGACCACCCACGTTCAGAACGTCCCCGAGTAACGACGCCAAGACAGGACAGATGGATTCGAGTTACACATCTCCGACACAGGTTCAAAACGGCAGTAACGACGTCCCAGACAATTCCTGGACTGCGCCGTATCCATCCCAACACTGTCAGGAATCGTTTACGTCAGTACGGGATTCGACCACGACGCCCTGCCATACGTCCCATCCTGACACACCGTCATCGAGTCAACCGTCTAAGATGGTGTCGAAATCATGTTCGCCAACCTCGAATATGGTGGAGAAATGATGTCTTTACAGATGAATCGAGGTTCAACATTTCCAACAGTGACGGGCGCCAACGTGTCTACCGGCGTTTGGGAGAACGTTATGCGCACAACTGTATTGTGGAGAGGAATCGTTTTGGAGGTGGCTCTGTGATGATTTGGGATGGGATAACAGCACGGCACCGAACCCCTTTGGTGGTTGTTCAGGGCAATCTCACCGGTGTTGGCTACAGAGATCAGATTCTGAGGCCTGTGGTCATTCCTTTCCTGCAACGTCATGGCCCGGGATTGACATTTCAACAGGACAACGCTCGTAATCACACAGCTAGGGACGCAATGGATTTCCTTCACCATAACAATGTCATGTTACTGCCATGGCCTGCAGTTTCTCCAGATCTCTTCCCAATAGAGCATGTGTGGGATGAAATTGAGCGTCGTCTGCGTCGTCTTCCACATCCTCCAGATAACGTCCGTGACTTGGCACAGGATTTGAGGAGGATATGGCAGGCCATTCCCCAGGCCTTCCATGCCCATTTGGTGGACTCCATGCGTCGCCGATGCACTGCTGTGATTCACGCACAGGGTGGTCATACCCGTTATTGACTTTGTGACTTTGTCCATTTTGATCTTCTGACGTCATCGTAACAGATGTTGTTCAGGTCCCGTTGACATTTTCTTATGGTCCGATCATTCAGCTGCTACAGCGTCTGCATCATACTCACACGCAAAAGAAACGCAAGTGGTTTTAAGCAATTAGGCAACAAACGCACCATTTCAATGAATATGTGGGTATCATGCACCCATTTCTCGCGAAATCGAAAATGCACGAACTGTCACGAGCTGTAGTTGGTATAAAACTGTGGCCGATTCTTGGACCTACCACCACACCTCGAAAAGATCGGCAGATTACCCGTCAACACCAGCGACATCCGTTCCTAACTGCAAGTGAAAGTGCTCGACGGACCATAGGAACACATAATCGACACATTAGCTGGGACACTGTGATTCGACGTCTCCGTTCAAACAACCTCAGATGTCGCCGACCAGCACGTCGTCCTGTTCTCCAACCACGGCATCGACAAGCACGACTTCAGTGGGCACAGGGTCATCACAATTGGCGTCATCGTGAGTGGAGGCGTGTCATCTCCTCTGATGAAAGTCGCTTTTGTGTCTCCCATGCAGACGGAAGAGTTAGAATTTGGCGTCGTCGAGGTGATCCTTTCGCTGACAGAAACGTTGTGGAAAGGGATCCATGGGGTGGAACTAGCGTCATGATATGGGCAGGGATTGGACTTAATGCGAGACTTGGACCCATGTGCTTTCTGAATGTTGGTCAAGGTCGGGGACACGGCGTCACTGCTCAGCGGTATATCGACCAAGTGATCAGACCCCACGTTGTTCCATTTTTTGCACAACATAAACAACACATTTTCCAGCAGGACAACGCTCGTCCCCATGTTGCCAGAGCTACCATGACCTTTCTGCAACAACACAACATCCGTGTTCTAATGTGGCCAGCCCTCAGCCCTGATCTGAAACCCATCGAACACTTGTGGGATGAGGTTCAAAGGCGTCTGCACAATGTGCGCCCAGTCCCTTCAACTGCACAACTGCTCTGGATGTGTGCAGGAGGATCCCTAGGGCCTTCACAAATCGTCTGATCCACTCAATGTACAGGAGATGTGTGGCAGTGATCAATGCTAATGGTGGTCACACCAGGTATTGACTGACATTTTTGGCATTGACCCGAAACTGTGTAAGCCCTTAACATTTGAAAAAAACAATTTTTTGTCAATCTTGCCCTATTAGTATTTCTTGTCTTTACTGTTAAAAAAACAAACATGTTCTGCATACTCGACTTGCGTTTCTTTTGCGTTAGTATATATATATACATATGTGAGAAATTGGCGCACATTGTAGCTACATTCAAAAGGGGTCCTATTTACAAGCATGAGTGAGAATGTCTTAAGCCATTTAAGCCTACATCAATTTTCAAGCATTGAACATGTTACTGTGGTTGACGCCAGGAATAGACTTCAACACGCTTATAATTAAAATTTCGCTGTGTTCATTGTAATTCCTGCATTCTGAATGTATTAATCCAAGCCCACTACTTTTATTACTACGGAATGGAGGGGAATCCCAATATTACAGTCAAGGGAATTCCCTTTCTGCTCACGTGTATCGTCATGCACAGGACATTTAACGGAATTCATGCATATTCATTGTCCAAAGTACCCTTTGAGGCCGAAG